ATATTCAATATGTCGCATTGTCGCGTGTCGCGTTGTCGCCCTTTTCGATTACTGGTGCGCATGCGTAGAAAGTCAATTAGTCTACGCATGCGCAGGAAATGTTATACTCTATTTCACACTTCAGTGGTCTTTTGTTACCTTCAATGGTTTTTACAATGAAGTAGTACGCGTAATGATAATGGGGGCTGCTTTTCTTGAACTTAATGGAAATCTTTCATTGTTGCTTTGAAAATTATTGTATATATTGTAAATGTATTTGGCCAATCAAGTGTGTTTTAGCATGAAGACAATTTATTAGCGCTACTATTCATTGTAATCACGGCACACGGTGGCTCTGTCATTCAAGGCGGGGGCAATTTGCTGTGCAGAGTTGTGTCTCTTAGTCACACCAGATAACTATGATCATAGGTTCGAATCCCAGCACCATACACACTCATCACTTTGGACATTTCACCCATATCAAGCTCACAGGTTGTGAAAAAACTCAAATATTGTTAAAATTCAGACCACATCGGCAGAAACATCAAGTGATGTCCACGAATGGGTCACTATGTTCCACAGTGTGGCTCCTCAGAGTTCTTGGTACAGTCCTGTCCGACGCTGATGAACTTGTTCAGCCAGCAGTGGATGGATACCAGGTAGAATGAGATGGTAATATCACTTAACCATCCAGCACCTCAAATACAGTTTTGTTCGACTTTGAACGTGATATTCTTCTTGGGAAAACGCCATACAAATGGAATTTTATGATTATGATTTTAAAAGCGGTCAAATCGCTTGGCAGAGTTGCGTACCCTTAGAGCCAGAAATCAACCCTCGCTCGCTCGCTCGCTCCCTCCCTCCATTCAACTCCCCGCTCCACCCACTCACTCACTCCACCCCACTAAACTCCGCTCCACTCCACTCTTCTCCGCTCTACTCAACTCCACACCACTTTGCTCCACTCCACTCACTCATCTCCGCTCTACTCTACTCCACACCACTTCGCTCCTCTCCACTCACTCACTCACTCACTCATTCCACTCCACTCCATCCGCTCACTCACTCACTCCGCTCCGCTCCCCGCTCCACTCACTCACTTACTCACTCCGCTCCCCTCCACTCCACTCCACTCACTCACTCTCTCCCTCCACTCCACTCCACTCCACTCCACTCACTCACTCACTCACTCACTCCACTCCCCGCTCCACTCACTCACTCACTCATTCCACTCCACCAACTCACTCAACTCCGCTCCGCTCCACTCCACTCCGCTCCGCTCCCCGCTCACTCTCCACCCACTCACTCACTCACTCCAATCCACTCCAAACATCGAAAAGTAATCATGCTTGTGATAGTTTATAAAATCCGCCGTAACTTATAAAACGCGACACGCGACAATGCGACATTTCATCAAAATGTCGCGTTGTCGCATTGTCGCGTTTTATTAGTTACCGCGGAATTTCAAAACTATTACAAGGATGTCTTTCAGTGGCATTTAGAAGTTGTACATTGATGTCCAAGATATTTTTATTGATTAAACTTCTTTTTAATTTCTCTCACGACGTTTCGAGACCATTCCAGATCTATGCAGCTGTGGCGATCAATATATTGGCGAGACTCTCAGGCCCATTAACACCCGAGTTGCTGAACACAAGTCGTCAGTATGCAAACAAAATGATAAGTCAGCTATATCGGAGCACAAGGCAAATAACCCAAGTCATGTTATCATGTGGAATGATATCAGGGTGCTTTCGAGAAATAACAACGACTGGCGTCGGAGAAAACTCCAGGAGGCTGTGGAGATAAGGAGACATAAACCAGCAATGAATCGTGATCAAGGTGTCTACCTGCCAAGTGCGTGGGACCTCTTGATTAACTTTTGATGAACTTTAGATAAAAGAAAAACGAGTCTACTATTCTTTTTTGAAAGCCTGCTATCAAGTAACTTTTGTGTAATTAGCAGTTGTTGTGTATTGACAATTCAACTTTCAACTCTATTATTTAGCATGAATTTTCATCATTATGTAATTACTCTTCAAACTCACTTATACAGTACTCTCCCTAGTGTACTGTGATGTCACTTGCATTGTGACGTCATAACTCAGTTGTGACGTCATAGTGACGACGTCATAGTCTTAACTGCCAGTTCACCTGATGAAGGGACCTGGAATGGTCTCGAAACGTCGTGAGAGAAATTAAAAAGAAGATTAATCCATAAAAATATCTTGGATATTACAAGGATTATTATGTTTAGATGTTTTTAAAGGGCGAAGATGCCCAGGGATCGAACCCAGAGTAATAATAAATGTGGCCGTGAAGTCTGTGGGTTACGAGTTCTTGGTGAATGGAATGGATGTATTGAAACTGGCCATTTTGCTGAAAATTATTATGATTGAGTAGGTGTATGTTTGACACGATACAAGTACATGTGTATCGCTGGGTATAGTATCGTATGAGAAATTTATCGATATATTATGAATCATGACATGTGCAGGATTAATAATATAGGATTCAAATAGAATTGAAAAACACACATCACAACACATTATTGTAATGAAATACCTTGCTAATTTACCAAGTTCCCTAAACCTTGAGTGAGTGAGTGAGGAGTGGAAGTGGAGCGGAGTGGAGTGGAGAGGAGTGGATAGGAGAGGAGAGGAGAGGAGTGGAGTGGAGTGGAGTGGAGTGGAGTGGAGGGAGGGTGGAGGATGGAGGAGGAGGAGGGGTGGGTGGAGCGGAGCGAGCGGTGGTGGAGAAGAGCGGAGTGGGGCGGAGCGGAGCGCAGTGGAGCGGAGTGAGAGAGAGGGAGGGTTGGTTTCTGGCACTTCAAGGGTACGCAACTCTGCCAAGCGATTTCATGGTAATTTTTTAGGCTGTTTTTACATAGGGCGACGCGAGACAACGCGACATATTTTGACCTTGAAAATTGTCGCTATGTCGCGTGTCGCCCTTTGGAGGAATAAAAAAAAATATTATTCAAAACGCGACACGCGACATCGCGACAATGCGACAAATGGGCGAAATGTCGCGTTATCGCGTTGTCGCGATGTCGCGTTTTGGTTAATTTTGCTTCATTTTGCTTGTATTTGAGAGGGCGACAACGCGACAATGCGACAACGCAACAATGTCCCTTCCAGGATTCCATAAAACTCAAGATAGAATAAAACTCAAATGCATACAGAAGGACATCAATCTTAAAGCTCGTGAGTGTAAACTAGCGTACAAAGAGAAAGTTGAGAGACAGTTTCAGCAAAGCAATCTGCAACAAGCCTGGCAAGGCGTGAACACGATGATTGGCAAGAGCAGGCGACGACAGACAACCAACGCCGGGGATAATAAAACCTTTGCTGAGGACCTCAACACTTTCAACAGCCTTTGATTGTCACGACTTTACCGATGAGAGAGCCCAAGTTAGTGAAGCCGTACAGGATAGTGAAAGTCGTATCCATATATCAGAAGCTGACGTCATTCAAAGCTTCTCCAGAATTAACATCAGAAAAGCAAAAAGGACCTGACAGCCTTGACGGCATTGTGTTGAAGGTGTGCAGACTTCAACTGTGTACAGTTTTCACTAGATTGTTTCAATTCTCAGTGAATACACACGTTATTCCTTCGGTCTGGAAAACATCAGAAATTGTACCAGTTCCTAAAAAGACACAACCTAAAGAACTCAACGACTACAGGCCGGTTGCTCTCACATCTATAGCAATGAAGTCGCTGGAACGCATCTTGTTGAGACATCTCCGTCAGGAAGTTGCCGACATACTGGAACCGCTTCAGTTCGCCTACAGGCCAAGGAGAGGAGTTGTTGATGCCACACTGTCACTCCTGAATAATGTCTATAAACATCTAGAGACACCTAAGTCATACATAAGGGTCCTCTTCGTTGACTTTTCATCTGCGTTCAACACTATCCAGCCACATATCATGATACAGAAACTGTTAGACATGGGCGTTAACTCATACCTCATCAAGTGGATCGAAAACTTTCTTGTGGACAGACAGCAGTACGTGAAAGTTAACGGGGCTGTATCGAGTAAACGGACCACCAACACTGGTGCACCACAAGGCTGTGTAATATCTCCTGTTCTTTTCACCCTCTACACTAATGATTGTGCAAGCTCGAATTCAACCTGTTCAACTGTAAAGTTCGCAGATGATGCAGCAATTGTCGGCAAACTGAACGACACTGATTCTGAAGAACTGTATAAAGAGGACATTAATCATTTTACGACTTGGTGTGCAGAAAACCACTTACTCTTAAATGTCACAAAACAAAGGAACTGATAATTGACTTTCGGAGTAAACCCACAGAACTGCTTCCAGTGATAATCAACGGTGAATGTGTTGAGACAGTGTCGGAGTATAAGTATCTGGGAACCTTCATTGACTCTAAGCTGAACTGGAACTCTAACACTGAAGCCCTATACAAAAAGTGTCAACAACGTCTTCATCTCATGCGTAAATTGAGATCTTTTAATGTTAACCCATCTGTGATGTCATCTTTTTATGTAGCATTTATTCAGAGTATTTTAACATTTTCCTTCCATTGTTGGTACGGGTCTCTCTCAGTTCATCTCAAATCTAAAATAGACAAAATTGTTAACACTGCAAGTAAAATCGCTGGAGTCAGATTTGAATGTTTATCATCAATATATGAGCGGCAAATCGTGAATCAAGCTGTCAAAATCATATCTGACCGTACTCACTACTTAAATTCGGAATACAACCTTCTCCCTTCAGGCCGCCGATACAAAGTTCCAATTAGAAAACTAAGAGAGCCCGTACATCCTTTATTCCAAGTACCATATATCTCTCTTAAACAAATGTGAAGATATCTAAATCAAAGAATTTATGTAAATATGTTTGGTATCTCTAATGTGTCAGTAGCTCTGCTGATGTAACACAAATTCCTGAAAAGGCATTAAAGTATTATTCTATTCTATTCTATTCTATCACGCTCGGGGAAAAGTGCTTTAAATAGCCTCAAATCGGAGCACTGAGACGTACCCGTCACGATATACCAACAGTAAGATATGCTATACTTGTACCGTTCTTCTCATATCACGTGACCACGTGACGCCGGCTGACCTGATTAAGTGGGTGTGTCATGTGATATGATACGGCAGGGATCAGTGAGTATCGCTGGGAACATTACAGGTGAAGTTCACTCCGACACAGGGACATAACACACGTACTGGACAATACTACACAGCTGTAGGTGAGTACAAGTGAATAACCAGCATGTTTGACTCGTAATCTATGTCCAGATATAACATATATCAACGTTAGCTGTACCAAGTATACCTGGGGATGTATATTCTGGGGTAGGGTGTTCCTCCCCCGTGGGACGCTACAACAGGTGTGGGGGTACATTATCGTATATATACTGCTGAAAGTACCATATGTAGTTATCTCGTATACTTGTTTTAACCTGATAAATGGTTTAATGATGTAACAGTGATATTTGCCCCGTTGTGTCGACACTCTGGCTATGTCGATATGGGGTATATTTAGTGTATTACGTCCCACCTATCACTGATATTGGATCTAACCAGTATCGCCTGACAGTGACTAGGAAATATATAACAGTCTCTCACCTTGTCTGTGTAATCCATGCTGGTCGGATTATAGTCGACGTGTAGTGAAGCACTCTTCGCTGTCAAAATAACCCATGCATCCTTCGGTATCAATATGATCAATGATCAAATCACACATGTGCCCCAATAACATCGTGTGCCCAACTATATCAATATCACCCGGGTGCCCTAGTTTCAATATCACACATGTGCCCCTGTATCAATATGATCAATGCATCCCTCGGTATCAATATCACACATGTGCCCTAATATCAATATCACACATTCTCTACGGTATCAATATCACTCATGCACTCTCGGTATCAATATGACCAATTCACCCCCGGTATCAATAGTACCCGTGTGCCCCTCGGTATTAATATCACCCGTGTGCCCCAGTGTCAGTATCACCAATGTGCCCCTCGGTATCAATACCACCTATGTGCCCAAGTACAAATGTCATCCACCCACTCCTTCAGTATCATCCATGTGCTTTCCAGCATCCCCCTGCTGTATCCCCCTGGACCAGGTAGTGAGAGTTAGGCTGTGTGTTACTACAGGTGAGAGGAGTGGAGGAGTTTGACATTACAGGTAATTAGCTGGGAGTGAGACATGACGTGTCTGCTTCCTTGGCTCGGGGCAATACCGCCAGGTGTGTAGACAGAACCAAGTCTGCAGGTGTCCACACGTTTATGAGCACTTTTATATGCACCTCCCCTGTTGACCAACAAAAGTGTATCAGTAGACTATTGTGCTCCCTCCCGCCCTCCAGGATTTAGGACCAGGAAGCTGACTGCTTGCAAGGCACGCTCTCCGTCCTATCTTATCTCTTACATGAATCACCTCACAAATATGTCATAGCCGGGTTTTACACTACCCTGCTCCGCTGTCACAAGCCGGTGTTGTCTGAAAACCCAGAGTGTTTCTATGCCTATTGTTCGGGTAGACATACGGATGGGTATGTGGAAGAGAAAGACCGGTTGAGATGAATGGGTACGTGGATCTCAGCCGTCGGTGAACTGTGACAGCTACGCCGTACACTACTTGTAAGTGACAATCACACACCCTGGTATGTCAGCAGTCGGCGGTGTGGGGTGGAGCGGTGGACTAATCAACAGATAATGATTGGGTGCGTCCACCCGTGGAAAGAGCTGACAATATGGGCATAATATGACCATCTGGCTCGAAGACCGGCCTCACAAAGGCAGCTGGCAGGTCAGGTCAGATTTCCTTCGGTGTCATGAACCTGCTGCTGTTGGAGATTGTACTGGGGTATTCTTCTACAACTTCACACAAATGGCGTAGTGAAGTAGCCCTGATTGTCGTTCCACAAAGCGGTCGTAGCTTTGAGGTGACCGTAACTCCAATACTTAATCATAGAGTTATGGCTATCCTTGCGCTAAGGTGACCGTAACGTCAATACTTAAGCATTGACTTACGACAGTCGTTACCCTAAGGTGACCGTAAGTCCAATACTTAAGCATAGACGTACGGCTGTCGTTGCGCTAAGGTCACCGTAACTTCCACACTTTAACATAACCGTAAGTCTGTTGTTGCGCTCGGACGATCGTCACTTCCATATTGAACATAGACTTACGACTGTCGCTGGCCTACGAATGCTTGGCTGTGCGGGCCATGGGCAACTGGTGAAACATGGTCTCGGTCTAACTTTGGTCGGTCACGTGACGAACCTGATGCTGGCATCAAGTTTAGAGAAGGTTCTCTGTGACTTTGGATACTACGACGATAGTCAATGACAGTTGTTCGGCTTCCTAGACTACCAACTTTATTCCCACCATGACATTTCACGTTGCGTTAATCTTCGTATATCTATGGCCGTCGATGCGTTGTCATTATTCAGACGCTGATTTCATTAAACTGGTGATGACATCTTATTTATGCTTCCCGTGTTTATGCTGATGTCTTCTATGTCTATGTCATCAATGTATATGCATTTATATTAACAAATATACTGAGGGAAACAAATAAGGGAACACCACTTCATGACAGTGTTCCTTTATTTATTCTCAGATTTCCCCCCACAGCGCTATTCAAAGTTGGTGATGAAAACTGGAAAATATTAAAGGAACGCTTTAAAGGTGTTACTTTATTTGCTTCTCTCACTATATTATGAGTGTGTAACGCAAAGTAGAATTTAACAAATACGTAACTATCCCAACCAGAACTCTCTGTAATAGCTGACGGACTGTGATGTTTAACGCCATAGTCATCAATATTCCAAGCCATATGACGGCGGCATGTACAAAATATAATCTGGATCCGACAAACCAGTGATTGATATTATGAGCAACGATCCCCGTCATTTGGCTACGATAACACTATATCAACCAAGCTACTGAGCAACGATCCCGTCATCTGGGTACGATAACACTATATCAACCAAGCTACTGAGCAACGATCCCCGCCATCTGGGTACGATAACACTATATCAACCAAGCTACTGAGCAACGATCCCCGTCATCTGGGTACGATAACACTATATCAACCAAGCTACTGAGCAACGATCCCCGTCATCTGGGTACGATAACACTATATCAACCAAGCTACTGAGCAACAATCCCCGCCATCTGGGTACGATACCATTATATCAACCAAGTTACTGAGCAACAATCCCCGTCATCTGGGTACGATAACACTATATCAACCAAGCTACTGAGCAACGATCCCCGTCATCTGGGTACGATAACACTATATCAACCAAACTACTGAGCAACGATCCCCGCCATCTGGGTACGATAACATTATATCAACCAAGTTACTGAGCAACGATCCCCGTCATCTGGGTACGATAACATTATATCAACCACGTTACTGAGCAACGATCCCCGCCATCTGGGTACGATAACACTATATCAACCAAGTTACTGAGCAACGATCCCCGTCATCTGGGTACGATAACACTATATCAACCAAGTTACTGAGCAACGATCCCCGCCATCTGGGTACGATAACACTATATCAACCACGTTACTGAGCAACGATCCCCGCCATCTGGGTACGATAACACTATATCAACCAAGCTACTGAGCAACGATCCCCGCCATCTGGGTACCATAACACTATATCAACCAAACTACTGAGCAACGATCCCCGCCATCTGGGTACGATAACATTATATCAACCAAGCTACTGAGCAACGATCCCGTCATCTGGGTACGATAACATTATATCAACCAAGTTACTGAGCAACGATCCCCGCCATCTGGGTACGATAACACTATATCAACCAAGTTACTGAGCAACGATCCCCGCCATCTGGGTATGATAACCCTATATCAACCAAGTTACTGAGCAACGATCCCCTTCATCTGGGTACGATAACATTATATCAACCAAGTTACTGAGCAACGATCCCCGCCATCTGGGTACGATAACCCTACATCAACCAAGCTACTGAGCAACGATCCCCGCCATCTGGGTACGATAACCCTATATCAACCAAGCTACTGAACAACAATCCCCGCCATCTGGGTATGATAACACTATATCAACCAAGTTACTGAGCAACGATCCCCGCCATCTGGGTACGATAACACTATATCAACCAAGTTACTGAGCAACGATCCCCTTCATCTGGGTACGATAACACTATATCAACCAAGTTACTGAGCAACGATCCCCGCCATCTGGGTATGATAACATTATATCAACCAAGCTACTGAGCAACGATCCCCGCCATCTGGGTACGATAACATTATATCAACCAAGTTACTGAGCAACGATCCCCGCCATCTGGGTACGATAACATTATATCAACCAAGCTACTGAGCAACGATCCCCGCCATCTGGGTATGATAACCCTATATCAACCAAGCTACTGAGCAACGATCCCCGCCATCTGGGTATGATAACATTATATCAACCAAGTTACTGAGCAACGATCCCCGCAATCTGGGTACGATAACATTATATCAACCAAGTTACTGAGCAACGATCCCGTCATCTGGGTACGATAACATTATATCAACCAAGTTACTGAGCAACGATCCCCGCCATCTGGGTACAATAACATTACATCAACCAAGTTACTGAGCAACGATCCCCGCCATCTGGGTATATTAACCCTATATCAACCAAGCTACTGAGCAACGATCCCCGCCATCTGGGTACGATAACACTATATCAACCAAGTTACTGAGCAACGATCCCCGTCATCTGGGTACGATAACACTATATCAACTAAGTTACTGAGCAACGATCCCCGCCATCTGGGTACGATAACACTATATCAACCACGTTACTGAGCAACGATCCCCGTCATCTGGGTACGATAACACTATATCAACCAAGCTACTGAGCAACGATCCCCGCCATCTGGGTACGATAACATTATTTCAACCAAGTTACTGAGCAACGATCCCCGCCATCTGGGTACGATAACATTATATCAACCAAGTTACTGAGCAACGATCCCCGCCATCTGGGTACGATAACATTATATCAACCAAGTTACTGAGCAACGATCCCCGCCATCTGGGTATATTAACCCTATATCAACCAAGCTACTGAGCAACGATCCCCGCCATCTGGGTATGATAACACTATATCAACCAAGCTACTGAGCAACGATCCCGGTCATCTGGGTACGATAACATTATATCAACCACGTTACTGAGCAACG